CACTTGCCTTAAAGAAAATTGTTGTTTTCAAATGTTACATATATTCCTGGAACATATTGTTCATATTAAGTCATAGTTTTATTGTCTTTTTTTCTAAATGAAATGTCAAACTCTGCTGTCCTTCATCCAAATTGAAACCACTCCCCAAGTAGCAAAAGCAGAGTAGTTTAAGGCGGTCTAAGTTTGCTCCTGCAAGAGACGATCATGTCAATCCCATTTCTGTTCTAGCAGCCCAGCTACATGGTAAGCAGGACCAGCAACCTGAAGCCCTTGAAGGGCAGTCCTCAACGCCACAGTGTGTAGATGAATTTTTGGCTGCATCTTTTTGATAGAGTCTTGATAGAATTTGTCACTTTGCTGCATATGTGTGCTAGCAGCAGCACAAGGGAAGGGCAAGTTGGAGATGAGAAAGGGACAATCTCTTTAATGGCAGTACAGACACAGGATGGTTAAAAGAACGGCTAAGTTCTGTTTCTTCATCCTGGCTCCCTGATCTTGCTCTCTCTTATGCCAGTTCTGGTGTGCTGAGCCAGTTGAACTCATTAGTCCAGCAGAGAAACATGTACTTTTTGCCAGATTAATGAATTCAGCTAGTATGGAGAGTAGCTGCTATGCGCCAGAGCTGGCTTGGGGTAACCGTGGGGGATGGAGAGGGCATGAAAATGCCTTTTTTGATGGTTGGAAGTGGTTAGATTGATCTGCTCTATAATGGTGAACTTCACTGTTAGGTGTAGGATTTCTTTTTGAGGACTCACTGATTTGTATGTTCTAAGAACTTGAACTTTGAAATGGGAAACTAATAAATCTCTTGAGAGGCCTGGAGGTAAAAACTTGATGCTTTTCAGAGGTGTGCATACAGTGAAGTGGAAATTGGCTCTTTTATCTGGTTGCATATTTAGCATCTCTGACAAATTCATGTTAGTGTATGACCTTTATATAATCTATATATAATATTTTTCATACATCTTGTGGTGTTTAGTGGGATTTACTTAAGCCTCTCACACTGAATCAAGTCAATTACAAAAAATAGATGTTTTCCAGTAATGCATTGTTGCTGAGTACTCCTGCCAGCACACACCATCCCCTATCCCCCATGCTATTTGAAAGACCCTTATGAGCTTGGAAAACTGTCCTATTCCATAAATACTTTTGGCCAAGTAGCCTGCTTTTAAGTTTGTAAGTTGAACTGTGACCATAACCTGTGGATTTTTCTTTCTTTATATAAATCTGTGGAAGAAATGGTATCTTAAAGTAGGAAATTATGACATATGTTTGCTTACTATTTAGTGTTTCTATCTACATAGCTTTTGCTTAGGGTTGCATCTCAAGGCAAATATGCCTTGAGTAACTGAAACTGTAGTTACTGTTGCTGTGATGTTTGTAAGTATAGACATATCTAGCAGAGCTTCAGACACTTAGGATGATGCACGGAATTTGAAAAACTGTTGTAAGTATCTATTCGTAAGTACTGGATCTTTTCAGCAGATTTGGTTTTTTGTGTGGTTTGGGGTTTTTCTTTCTGTGCTTATTTGTTTGTTTGTTTTCTTTCCTGCTGGTACTTTAGGATAAGAATAGAGTACGAGCGTGCTTAAGATGAGCAGACAACTGTTGGTACTGACAGCAGCTCTCAGACTGCTGAAATCAGTCAAGTTAAGGGCTAAAACACATTCACTGACTAAAACGCTGCTACGTGCAGTTGGGGTTGCCAATAGATTACATCTACTGCCCTTTAACAATACTAAGTTTGGTGCCCCTGTGGCCTGTAGAAATGAGCTGTTACGAGCATTAAAGCTCATAACAGCCAGTGCCACTTCCTCTGCTTCCAACCTGGGTTTGGAAACTAGAAGAGTTTTTGTGCCATAGCATGTTCAGTGTAGGTGTAGTGAATGACGGTGTTCAGGAAGGGACTGGTACGCATTTGTGGCATGAGGAGTTTGGGATTTGAGCAGTTTGCTCAGATTTTGCTGGAGGAATAAGCCTTTTAGAGTTGTCTTGTGCCGTGTCTTTTGTATTTCACCTCTGAAGATCTGTTTGCATCAATGAGCTGTGCGGTGTCCTTGCTAGCCTTATAGAAGGATTAGTGATGCCTATGTGGGGAGATGGTAGCACCAGGGAAACTGGGATGGACAAAGTATGAAACTGGTGGCACAGGTGGAGTAGGGAGAGTGTTCTGCTGCTGACAGGGTAGGCTTTTGTTGCATTAAGAGTGTTCAAACGTGTACTGAAGCTGAAGAATAAGGAAACTAAAAGGCAGGGTAAGATTAAAGTCAGACAGCTTTAAAGACAGTGTAAGGCATGACACTTTGCTGAAAGTCCTGGCAAGAATACGGGAGTGTGCATGTTTAAAACGTGCAGTTGGTCAGTGGTACCTTAACTGCCTGCCTTGGACAGGAATCCAACCATAAGGCTTTACTGATTGACTTCCAGCTGTAAGAGATACCATAAGGAAATTTTCATTTTCTTGCTTTCTTTTTTTTTGTTGTGCGAATGGGCATACCCTGGCATGTGTGGCTTGCTTTTAGTAAGGATGTGGGGTTTTTTAGCAAGAGCTGTGTTTGATGGCGGCTCATGCATAATGCCGTAATAGTGCTTTCACAGTGCCTTCTATCAATATTTTCATTTTGCAGGCAAAAAATGGAGGTGTGTTTCCATGTGTTTTGCTTTTCCTTGCTTTGTCACTAAGCCAGCAGTATTTTGGAGCAGAAAACAGTGCTTTTGGTCTTCCCCTGAGCCTAAGCCAGATGGAGCAGCCTATTAGTACTTGTTAGAGTGTGGCTGGGTGAGTTCCAGCTCCTGGATTGGTTTGGGAGGTTACCCAGTGTTAGTCTTGAAGTGCTGATGATATGGATAATGCTAGCAAGGCTGCCATATGCAAGAAAGGGTCAAACCAGTCTGTTTTTAGATGTGGATGGTAAAATGTCATCTTGGTTAATTATTATTCTAGCTAGATTCTCCATTTACTCATTTGGATTACTAATGATTGCATGTTTACTCTTCTGCATGCCTATGACTTCTTCTGTCTTGAGTCTCAGATAGCTTTCAGTCCTAGGAGGATTTCTTCAGCAAAAGAATCATACAGGTCAATTTTATGGCCAATATTATCTATTCTCTGATGGAGAAACTCCCTAGCAATACTAAATGCAGTAGCGGTCAACTTTCTGGAAAGAGCATTGCCTTGGATGCAGTTTGTGTCCTAACCATTTGCTTATTTTGGCACTCACTCCTGTGAGTTCCTGATACACTTTTATTCATAACAGCAAAATACTTGCCCTAAAAAGTGGGACAGTGTCTCAGGCAACTGTGGAAGTGAGGGGCTGAGGGTAGAATGGGGGGACTGCCTCTTTGTTGGTACCATGCACTGAACTGTTTGTGAACCCTGCTATTACATAGCGTTAGTTTTTGTTGGAAAGCTGAGGCTTAGTATTTATGTAGAATAGCAGCAACATCCTAAGCATAGCACGTTGTGTGCATCTTTGTGTGGTAATTGTGATGGATGTGTTTATTACTCTGTATTCTGTCTGGTTTAAACTGTCTCTGGATATTTTGTCTTTGTGCAAGTACGAGATTAAATTACAGATCGTGGTGAAAAATGTCAAAATATAAGTTAACTGAAAAGGCTTTCTGTTTACTACCTTCCCTATCTCTTCTTTCTCCACCCCCTTCTTAACTCCTGATTCAAGGGTGCCTAACATGCTTATAACTCCTGCTAGTTGGTATTTGCATTATTGTGTATTAAAGACTTGAATAAGTGATACGGGCTTCTTTTTTCATTTGTGTGCTGGTTTTTTTTTTTAAGAAAGTTGAATATAGCAGAGTTCTTGTTTCAGAATTGCTTACTAGACTGTAACTATTACATGCTCAAAGAATATTCTCAATTTCTACACCTGAATTACTATTTTGACTAGAAAATTTTGTTGCCTAAACCCAGAAAAATATCAAAGTACCTTGCCAGAGCCTTTGGTACATGTGTTAGCAGCTGACAATGGAGTTCAGCAAAAATCTCTTTAACTCTTGTTACTTCTCAGTTTTACAAAGTGTTGAAATTGCAGTTTGCATGCAGCTTGCAGAGTTTAGCAGCTGGTTCTTTGGCTGCAGTCAGAATAAGAAGGAGGGAGCTCCATGCTGCAAGCAATCTGATGCACAGGGTTGAGATTTGACAGGAAGGTGTGTTGAAATTTTGAGGGCATGATGTCTCCATCAAGGGGACAAGTGACTGCCTAAACAAAAATGGTAAATAAGTATTTCTTAAATGTAGAACGTAAGCATTGTGATAAATTTTTGAATGTCAAGATGGAAATGGCTGTTATATATTCAGTAGTTGCAGAATATTTAAAGGTTTGGAGATCTAAAACTTTAAAATACAATGAAATGAAATTTGATCAAAATGGATCTATTTAACAGTTCTGTACTGAGGCATCTGTTGTTCAACTATAGCTATTTCTTTCCGGGTACTCTGGCTGTTCTGAGCATAACAGTGGGTTGTTTTGCTAATGTTGCTATTGCAGTTCAGCATTAGAAAAATCAAAAATATTTGAGTTCACTGACTGTAGCAGCTATTATGGTCGTCACTATCACTGCAAATAATTGCTGAGCTTCTGGTTTTGATGATTTTTCAAGTGAAGACATTAAGAGGAGGAATCTTCAAAACCAGTATGTACATCAGTAGTTATTTAGAAATAGAATTTCCTGATGACCTTGTGACTTGACAAGCTTCTCGTAAACTTTGACTGAAATGTCAGAAGTTTGAATATTGCCAAGGTCACTGGGGAGTGCAGAAGCTGATAGGTTAGTACTAAATCAACACTGGGCTAAGTTTTGTCACATGTGTCCCAGAAGTGTAGAGATCCTATGTCAAGAATCAACCCCCTCTATATTATTCTTGTCCTGAATATTTGCTATCTAATGTCTGTCTTCAAAGTGTGTGCAAGGCTGCATTGTAGTGTATGCTGCTGACTGTGTTTCTGTAATTAACAAGTGTTTATTTTTTCTTTCAAGCAGGGAATCATTAGCAGAATGACAGCATCGGTGAAAAACATTGTACCGGGATGGTTACAGAAGTATTTCAATAAAAGTGAAGATGAATGTGTAGATGCAAATGAATCTACAGACCAGGAAGAGAATCCAGTAAACTATCACCATGATTATGCAAATGAAGATACCATCGTGATTGATGGGAGAGTCATGCCTGAAACAGCAAGAATTAATCTAGACGGTATGTGAAAATTCATTTAGTATTCTGGCCATCTGTATTTATTCACAGATTTCTAGCTCTGAATCTAAATTTCTAAGGGAAGCTGGAAGGAGCATTTTGACAGAATTAAAAATAAATAAATAAACAAACCCCAGAAAACAACCAAAACCAAACCCACCAACAAAACCAAAACACCTCAAAAAAAACCAAACACCACCCCCCCCAACTGTTTCTGAAACTGCAGTTATGTTATACAGTTTCTGCAGACATAACTGCAAAACGTACTGGAGGTTGTCTGACAGCTCTTGGAAGCCATCAGTTAACTTCAGGTAGTCAATTATCCAGGTGCAGAATTTTGATAATATTCATTTGCAAGTGTGCTGGGTCACGTGTTGTTTTTGGAAGGTCTGGAATGAATGTCTGTCTAATTGCCTAAGGTAATAAAAACATTAATTTGTTCTGCTGTCCTCAAAATAAAAGACCAGATGCTGGAGTGCCAGAGGAAAATTCCTTCTCATGTCCTGATATTTTTGTTGTTGTTTTGTGGGGTTGGTTGTTTTTTTTTGTTTCTCTGGGCTTCTTAATTTAGTAAAGTTCCTTGTTAGTTCAATGAAGAATTGGGGAACTTGATCCATGACATTATTCTTTTTGAAATATGTTTCATTCAAAATTTCCATATGTTTTCTTTCAAAATAAATTTTTTTGAAATATGTGGTAACATTAAGGTATGAGCGTAGCTAGCGTGGGATCTTTGGAAACCTGTTTGGATCCATGGCAAAGAAATTTGCAGCCCTTCACCGCATAAAAGATCTGTTTTATATCTGTATCTTTCCCTGTTTCTGTAGTTCTCCTGTAAATCTGCATATGCTCTCATTTGAGTTTCTCTTAAATTAGCAGTTTCGTGGAACTTAAATTGTAGAGAAGTTTTGTCTGAGCACACGTACATAGCCATCTGTGCGGAAAGTCAGTTGCTTCTGTTGTTGGCAGAATGGGAAATAATGAGGAAATACCTTTGCCACCAGTGTCATCTAATTGTAAATAAGGAGCTTTATTATTTCTGTGTAGCTGTAGCTTGAGGATGAGTTTGGATAAAGGAATAGAGAAGGTCTTCATGAATGAGGAACATGTGTTGGCTTTCCTGAAGAACTGTGTGAAAGGATCTTTCAGTAAGAACAGCTGCACAACAAACTTTCTAGCTCTAAAAAAAATAGGAGCAGATGGACACCCTAGAACCTTTAGTAGCTTGCATTGCAGTCTGTGGATGCTGTAGGCCAATCTTTCTCACTGTAGTTAATAATGAGTTTTTTGGGTTTTGTTTTTTTTAATTATTACTACTATTATAATTTTAGAATGCTCGTTTCTTCAGCTCTGAGGTACCAATGTGCTAGCGGCTGTATTCCTTTGTTTGGCCAGCCTTCAACATGGTAACACTTTATCTTGAACAAGAGAGTCCTAAAAATCTACCAGTGCTTTGGAGAACTAATTACTGATACTGTGGTGGTTATGAAGATTGAACTAGCTAGTTTAAGCTTCAGTGCAAATATCAAGAGGATAGTGACTCAAAATCGTGTTCATATCCAGAATTCCCAGGAGGGACTATGGACTTCCATGGCTATCAGGCAAGATATTCATTAATAGCTGTTTCATTCGGGTGGCAAGGTGGAGCTGAGAGACCACCTCTTGCAGGACACTGGAGTGGTTCATGAGGCAAAAAATGCCTACCTTGCAACTGAGGCCATGATGCGTGCTTGTCGTTTGTGCCCACATCTCAGAAGTTAATGGATAATGTTTTGCCTGTAGCATGACCTGATGTAGTAGAATTTGGGAAGAGGGATGATGGCATGAAAACAAACAACTCCCCCAAAAAATCTCTGGAAATACTCATTTTCATGTCATGTATTCAGATTAACATCATCTGTGTTACAAGATTATGTAAACTGCAAGTCTGTAACTTGGCATGTAATTTCAAATTTTGGAAAGCTTATTGCAAGCTTTGTCAACAAAAGAAGGACGTACATGTTTGATTTAGTGAAAGACCCAGTGTTATAGCACTTAAACATGGGATCAGAATCTGGTGTTGTAAAACCCCATCATTAGCTGCTTCTTAACAGGACATTAATACTTAGTATTACAAGCAGTGTTGCTGTTGTAATCAGACAGATGAAACGCTATCTGGGCGAGGAAGACGTTAAATTTGGCTTCTCTATTTTTGTGCTTGAAACTTGGCAATAGCATGACTGTTGATAGAAAACAGGTTTTGGCTTCTGCCTATAGAAAAGCTAATTGTCTCCCTGTTCTTGTTTAGAACCATCCACAAGTAGATCTGCATTGAACTACTCGGATGTGTTAACAAGGCCCTCTCTTCATCGGAGCCATTTGAACTGTACCATGTTGGATTCTACAGTACCACATTGTCAGCCCTCTACATCTTCTTCACTTGGCATTGGCAGTCCTGGACTGTCTCTTGTAAGAGAAATAAAAGATTCTACCTCTCAGCATGATGATGATAACATCTCAACAACCAGTGGCTTCTCCTCTAGAGCATCTGATAAAGGTAACTTTCAAGTTCTCTAATTGATTTTTGATAACATGAAGTACTTTGCATTCTTTAATATTCCACATCACCTTAGTGAATAAAGTATGTGACTATCAGCTTTGGATGTTACAATTATATTTAATTTTTAATATATAATCCTGTCACCTTTTCAATATAAGCATGCCTTGGAATGCATTTGTGAGACTCTGATATTGAGTCAGTGCTGATAAACACAGTTTTAGATAGGTAATCTGTAAGTCTTAAATTCGGATAGTAGGATCTGCAGATGACTCTGTAGCTGGACAGCTGGGTTGATTGCCTAGAAGGAATAGTGATTTGCAATATTTGACTGACAGTTGCTTAACTCTGAATAAATGCAGGTGACAAATAGAAACACAAATAGGTATTTTCCTGTTTTCACCAGGAGTCAATAAAGAAACTAGTCTGATTGAGCAAGTTCTGGGCTGTTTTTTTGTCTTTTCCTGGTAGAAGGCATCAGTTGTTTATACTGCCATGTCTTTTGCTGAATTCAGTAAGGAATGTACACCATTTTAAAGTATAAAAAACACAACCAACCAACCAAACCCCAAACCATTGTATTGATGTAGATGGGGACTTAGGTGATCTCACTGAGAAAGGGCAAACAACAGGTTTGCAGCTTTTTCTAGCGCCTCTCCTTCCCCCCCCAGTATAAATGGGGATTGAGGTGTGCTCAGCAAGTTCTCTGGAGAACATGTTTTCACAGTGCAGAGTAGATGTTGACAGAGTTTAGCAATATAACCTGAGTACACTAGAGCTTTCTGGCGTGTCTCTATAAAACATACATGGAAAATAGGTTGTAAACTCTGTTAGTTCAGCCTTTAGGGAATTTTTCAGGTTTAAAACCTGTGTAGTTCTGGCCTATGCTGGCCTCTAACCCTTTACCAACATAGGAAAAACTTTGTATTATTATAGATGCACCAGTGTTTATGAAGTTCCCTTTTATTTTACTGTGAAAGAAGAAAAAATGAAATTGCTTTGCATTGCATTGGAAGCATACTATTAACTTGTGCACGCTTTCGAAAGATTACTGAAAGGTAACATATTTGCAGTTCTGTGAACAGACTTCCAAGTTAAGAGCTGGCCCTTGGTTTTCATGCAGTATGTGAAATTGATCTGTTTGAAGAGCTCTGAAGGTTATAGAATGCTGGAGAAATGCATGTTAGGGGACTCTTAATTCTCTAAGACCTATGTATTAAAGAACTCTGGTGTTAGTGTGATCTTCAGTATTAAAGTTCTCTATGTACACAAGGCATTTACATATGGCATGTGTCATTTTGACAGATATCACAGTTTCAAAAAATACTTCAGCACCATTGCTCTGGTCCACAGAAGCTGAAAGATCTCATTCCCTCTCACAGCATCCTGCAGCTAGCTCTAAAAAACCTGCATTCAATTTATCTGCTTTTGGATCTCCCTCTCCTGTAAGTACTGCACAGTATCAATTTTAACTAGTTTGAATTTGTAGCCATTTACTAACCACTTATTTTAATACCATTCTGTAGTCACTCGGAAACACTTCTGTCTTTAAGACAAGCCAGCTTGGGGATTCTCCATTTTACCCTGGGAAGACCACTTATGGTGGTGCAGCTGCAGCAGCGAGGGAGACAAAAGCACGAATTGCTCCTTATCAGGTATGAGAATAGCAATGCCGCCTGAGGGAAGTGTAAGCAAAATACAGAAGGGGTAACACTGCCAAAAGAGCTGTGAGCTGGGAGCTTAAAATGTGGCAACAGTTCCTATTTTGCCCTCTCAGCCTACAAGAGTAGAAAAGAACAATTTCTGTTTACATTTTTTTTAACAGTTTATGTAGAAATACTTGTTGCGATGCACAAGAATGACAGTAACATCTTAGGTTCTGGCTAGTTGACTGTAGTTGGGATTTCCTCTGTTGTCAACTCTTTAAAAATACTGCTTACTGACTGTATTATATTAAAATAACATGTAAATAAAACCAATAGTGGCATAACTTGTGTTTATAGTAGCAAAAGCTGCCTGCCTGATACTTGTTTGTAGATCTTGCACAAGCATACCTACATTCATGCTATGAATATATTGTGTAAAACTGTGCTCTCTTTACTACAGTAGTGTCTAAAAGGCAACTTGGCTGGTCCTTTGCTTTTCTGTTACCTAGAGGGATGCATGCAGTCCTAAATCCAATCTCAAGATAAACAATAAAATGCTTTCTATTTTAGTATCATTCAGTTAGCTCTTGAAAAGAGTTACTTGTCCCTAAGAGTTCTTTGTGTTCTAAAATGAACCAGCAAATTAAAAATGCTGCCAACTCTTAGTAGCTAGAGTTGATTTTAAAAGGAAGTCAATAAAATCTGGTTCGGTTGGAATGTGTTTTAAGTCAAAATTACCTTTATTTAAAAAAAAAAAAGTCACAAGGAACTTTATTTAAGGAACTGCAAATAAGAGTTTGCTGGACCTATTCTGGCAGCTTATTTCTGCCATGGAACAAAGGGGACCTCCAAGTTCCTGACTTAGGGGAAACCTTGAAAACTTGTAGTTTGTTCTGACTTGGTGTTAAATCAAGAACACTTCGACTTCAGAACACTCAAAACTTCCTGTAAGATAGGAGCTCTCTTTGGTCAGCTCTTTCTATTTGCCACAAAATAAATGTGGATTGTGCTGAAAAGAGGAACCAAAATACTAGGCTTTTGAAGGAGAGATTAGCTTGCTTGTTGCTGCATATTGTAGATTACAGCAAGTCTTGCTTGTATTTTTTACCTGCTGTTTAGTCTGTATTCTGTCTGCACGTAGCAGCTCGATAAGCATGGTGTGGTTACATGAGGGGTTTAACATAATTGAAAGAAGAAAGTCACACTGAAAAAAAAGCTTGGGTTTTTTATATTTTTTTATATTTTATTTTTGTTATATTCAAAGTCATGTGGTACAAATAAACCAGTTCACTTTTCAGTGTAATATGTTTAGATCTGTTACAGTTCAGATCAGATCTTTGTCTTTTTAAACAGAGTAAAAAGATCTGCAGTCAAGTGTAGTCTCGGAGGAAAGAAGGAAACAAGAGAAGTAAAACTAGAAATTCCTGATGATGATTGTATATGTTGGTTTTACACTTACACCATCATGAAACTCTGAGATCTGTTTTGTTAGTGAAAGTACTTTGTACATCACAAGCCTTTGCTTCAGTTCGGTTTTCCCAATTACTGGTTCAGAGACCCTACAGGTCTAACATCTTCCCTTTTATGAACTTTTTCAGTTTAGTATTTCTTCTGTTGCTTTATCCTGTGTGCAAGGTGTGTGGGGCTCCTCTGAAACTTTTATAAAGTCAGTAGAGCCTATTTTCCTCTTCATGGCTTGAATGCCTAGTGAGTGGATTTTTCTGCCATTGGTGTAGCCACAGGGCATAAAATACATTCATGTTTAAAAAATCAGTGTCATAATATTTGCAATGCTAATTTTTCAGCCACCAGTAAGACGACAAATGAAAGCTAAACAAGCAAATGTGCAATCCTGTGGTGTGACAAGTTCCACAGCACGGCGCATCTTGCAGTCATTGGAGAAGATGTCAAGTCCTTTGGCGGTAAATGGCACTCCTTTTCATCTGTTTTATTTCGTGTGTTTGAAAAACATAGTAAATGTGCTAGTGTAGGATGAAGATCTTCCTTATGTAGTGTCCAGTTTAATTTATTGCACTGTCTTTCAACAGGATGCTAAAAGGATTCCGTCTTCTAGTCCACTTTCTTCTGTAAGTTGATCACAACCCCCCCACGTTTTTGTTGATGGAATCCTCTCTTAGGGAAAAAAAAAAATTGTCCTCTAATATTTACTCTTTTTTTCCCCCTTAGCCTTTGGACAGGAGTGGGCTGAATATTACTACCTTCCAATCCAAGCGAAACCAGGTAAGAATCAGTAACATCTTAAGCCGAGTTAGATAACTTTCTACTCTTTATAGCTATTACAAGAAATGTCACAAACGTCAGTGACAGCATACACATGAATTCAAGTTAATGCTAGTGTTACATGAATTATAGCTGTCTCAGCTGTGTGGAAGTTGCTAAAAATGTCTTTTTCTACCCACACTAGAAGGACTGTGAAGCTCTCTCACGTTTAGAATTACATTATCTTTATGGACAGAATCTCTCAAGAAGTTTCTATGCTAATCCCTTGATTAGAAGTATAATGAATTTTACAGGCGCTTCAGAATTTACAAGCATCTTGTATTTTCTGTACCATCTTTCCCCATATGCTAAATTAAATTGAAAAGTAGAGCATATCATTTCTTTACCATAAATATTATCTAAATAATTGAAAACAAAGCCAATATGGATTCTCAGTTAAATTGTGGAACTACACCTGTGATGAGGTATTAAGAAAGATTTACTAGATTTGCAGCATAGGGCCTGACGTCAGTCAGAAGCGAATGTTGCATGCAGCTGTCACTGGGTAAAAGCAGAGAAATTGTCTGTTCATAATACTAGAATTTATAACGTTTGGCAGGGGAAGGTTAGCCTTGGCTGAGAAGGGGAGGAGAAGGTTGAGAGTTTCCTGCTAAAGCAAATGTATGGTTGACAGAACACTTGAGCACTCAAGCAGAATTTTTTGATGGTATTCTTTGTGGTATTTTTCTTATTTTGAGCTGCACCAGACAGAATAGCTCTTGGTATATTAAATATCTAACTGGGTGACTTGTTTTTTTCATTGTATGTTCCAGTCTTAACTAATTCGATATTCTTACACAATAAGGTCACTTGCCTTATGGATGAAGGGAAGGAGGTGAATTTTAGTAAGGCTTTTGATAGCCTGACAGCATCATTTTGGAGAAGTTGTGCAGGTGTGGGATGAGCCGGTTTACAGGGCACTGGGTGAAGAACTGGCTGAATGGCATGGTGTTATGGGCTGTAGTGAATGGGGCTAAATCTGGCTGGTGACTGGTCACCAGCGGTGTTCCTCTGGGCTCAATTCTAGTGTCAGATCTGTTCAGTGTTTTTATCAGTGATTTGTGGATGCAGGAGCTGAATGCATCATTAGCAAGTTTGCTGATACAGAAGTGGGAGGTGTTGTTGACTCTCTTGAGGGACAAGAGACCTTGTGGAGGGATCTAGGTAGATTGGAGTCTTGGGCAATAATCAGTGGCATGAAAATGAATGAGAACAAATTCTGGATCTTCATCAGTGATGTAGTCAGCAAGTTTGCAGGTGACACCAAGCTGAGTGGTGTGGTTAACATGTCTGAGGAACACAATGCCATGCAGAGGGACCTGGACAAGCTCAAGAAATGGGCCCATGTGAACCTCATGAGGTTCAAAAGGCCAAGTGTAAGGTCCTGCACCTGGGTCAGGGCAACCCCTGGCATCAATACAGGCTGGGGGATGAAGGGATTGAGAGTATCCCTGAGGGACTTGGGGATACTGGTGGATAAAAAGCTATGCATGAGCCAGCAGTGTGCGCTCACAGCCCAGAAAGCCAACCATATCCTGGGCTGCACCCAAAGAAGCGTGGTCAGCAGGCTGAGGGAGGTGATTCTATCCTACTCCACTCTGATGAGACTCAATGTGGAGTACTGTGTTCAGCTCTGGAGTCCTCAGCATGGGGCAGACATGGACCTGTTGGAGCAGGTCCAGAAGAGGGCTGTAATAATGAACAGAGAGGTGGGGCACCTATTCTATGAGGAAAGGCTGAGAGAGCTGGGGTCATCCAGCCTGGAGAGGACTGCAGGTATACCTTATTGCAGCCTTTCAGTACTTAAAGGGGCCTATAAGAAAGATGGAACAGGCTTTTTAGTAGGGCCTGTTGTGATAGGACGAAGGGGTAAATGGTTTTAAAACAAAAGAGGGTAGATTCAGACTGGATATAAGGGAGAACTGCCCAGAGAGGTGGTAGGTGCCCCATCCCTGTAAACAGGTCAGGTTGGACAGGACTCTGAGCAACCTGATCTACATAAAGGTGGCCCTGCTCACTGCAGGTTGGGGGGGTTGGACTAGATGACGGTTAAAGGTCCCTTCCAACCCAAACTATTCTATGATTCTGCACCTGGGACAGAGTAACACCAGACACAAGTATAAACTGCAAGTGGAGTGGCTGGAGAGCAGCCCTGCAGGAAGGGACCTGGGGGTGCGGGTTGGCCGCAGGCTCACTGTGAGTCATCAGCGTGCCCTGGCAACCATGAGGGCAAACCACATCTTGGGGTGCATTAAACACAGCATCACCAGCCAATCAACAGAGGTGATTATCCCACCATACTCAGTGTTGGTGCAGCCTCACCTTGAGTATTGCGTCCAGTTCTTGCCCCACAATTTAAGAAGGGAGTTAAGGTCCTTGGAAGTGTCCAGAGGAGGGCAACAAAGCTGGTGACAGGGCTGGAAGGAATGTCCTATGGGAGCAGTTAAGGGCACTGGGTTTGTCTAGCTTGGAATGAGGAGGCTGAGGGGTGACCTCAGCTCTCTACAGCTTCCTGAGGAGGGGAAGCAGAGAGGAAGGTGCTGAGATCTTCTCCCTGGGATCCAGTGACAGGACCTGTGGCTCAAAGCCGCATCAATCAGGGAAGGTTTGGACTTGACATTAGGAAGCATTTCTTTAACGAGAGGGTGATCAAACATTGCAGCAGGATTAGTAGAGCGGTGATTGATGCCTCAAGCCTGTCAGTGTTGAAGAAGCATTTGGACAATGTCCTTAACAACATGCTTTAACTTTTGGTCAGCCCTGCATTGGTCAGGCAGTTGGACTAGATGATCATTTAGGTCCCTTCCAGCTATTCTGTTCTGATTCTATTCTGTTTACATTTAAAAAGAGCAGTGGACCATTCTTCACTCAAAATGGGTTTGTGAACTTAAATAAACCACATATTACTCATGGTTTCAAAATGAGTATAATAGATTTTAGAAAGAAGTACTTTTAACCACTTTATAGATAGTACAACATGAATTTTATTACCAAGAGTTGGGAGATACTGTGGAATTAAAGCAGCGTTGTAAACACAGTTTTCTTTTGATGTTAATTTAAAAAAATAGCATGCATCTGAAGTCTCACTCTTCTGATCCCTAAGACTGCAGATGAAGCCTGTGGTGAATCTTGTAGCTTTTTTGTTTCAGAATTCAGTTTAGTCAGTTTTGCAGGGTGTACAGTGCTTTCTATTAAAAATTAGCACTTGTCCGAAAATTACTTTGACAAGCAAGGTCAAACCAGTATTTTTAAGTGCATCTAATGCAAATCTGAAACATTGGAACATGTTTTAATAAATGAGACTATTTCAAAATTACTTTGGAACTTTTTTTTTAATTGTTGCTTCAAAGGAGGAAAAATGCCACCATTAGCTGCTTAACACCTTGAATGTTAAATGAATGGATTATGTCAGTAAAAAAAAATATTACCGTGTGGACAGAGGAGAGGAAAAGATGGAAGCGTATTATAATAACATGAGTTATTTTGATTATAGGAACATGAATTAATTTGTCTGTAAAGATAACTGCCAAATTTTAAAATAGGATTCAGTCAGAGTTTGGCTACTTCTATCACTTTTTGGATTTCATAACAGTTTTTCTGGTGATTTTCCTCTGCAAGATAAATGCTTTCAACACTTCCAAATAATTTTCACTGGGTGCTGAGTCTTATGGGAGTTTCATAGTTCTGTAGCCTTTTTCATCAGTAAATGCTGTGGCACATTGTATGGGTGCAAGAATAAATTGATTGTTGCTTCCCTTTCAAAGATGGAATCTCAGCTTCCACCTGTCCAGAAACTCGTGACACCAAAGGCAATCTCTCTGTCAGGGAGTCGGACCCAGTATTTTAAACCATCTCTGACTCCAGCTACTGATTCCAGCAAAATTCACCAGAGGGTAGAAACAAAGCACAAAGTAAGTAATTCTCTGGTCCTTATCTGCCTGCTTTTTGCAACCTTGGAATGTCTCTAACCAATTACTCTAATAAGGTGCTCTTTCTTGGCAGAGAGTACCAATAGCATGAGGTAAGCCTTAAGGCGGGGGAGGGGAGCCATTTTGAAAGAAATGCTTTGAGGTTTTATGGATTTAAATGTATTTTTGGAACAGTAAGTGGCTGATGGTTAGCTACAGTATGTGATGATGTGCTATTGGGTCAGGCTGTTCTCAGTGAAAAAATGTTTGGATGCGGAAACAACATTCCTTTTTTTATGCTCCTGTACACAAAGCTGTCACTGATGGAACATGCTGATGTTGTGTATAAACTCTCTCAGGTGAGCTACCGGCTCCGAGTGAGATTTCTGACAGTTACCCATTCTGATCACTTTGGTGTAGATGGAGTCCCTGGTGAACTTTCCTTAAAACAAGACTGGCATCTCTTTCAGAAACAAAAACCCCATGTTTCCAGTATCAGTCTGGTCTTAATAACCAGATTTAAGTTTATGGACTTTGTAGGCCAGAGATCAAAGCAGATTGTCATAATGGTTAGAGAGCAAGCTTATGTAGATGATGTATATTTAGTGATACAAACAGCACAAACCATGTCTGGTTGGTTGTCTTCGCTTTGTATGTATTTTGAAAATACATTTACATAAATCTTGAAAAAATCAAACTTAACTTCCAGGGCATGAGAGAGAAGAGTTTTCCTGCAGAACAGCGAGTAAACCCATCTGAAAGGTATGTCCAATCTATTAAGTCAAAACACTTGAAAGCTCTCTCTTTTGTCACTATAATCTGCCTGCCTGCCTTCTTTTGAAAGGGCAGTAACAGTTCTCAGTGAAGAGAATGGAAAATACAGTGAAAAGATTGTATTACGAGACAGTTCAACCACTTGTGCATCTTGATGTTCACTGGAGGGAGGGCACCTATTAGTTTCAGCTAATTATTTCATTGCTTGGAGTCAGAAAACTTTGTCCTAAGGGAATTATTCTTCCTGAAAGATTCTTTACAAGGTGAAGTGGCTTACAGTTCAGGTGTATATTTAATTTGTAGGGGTTTTTTTAAAGCTGAAAGCTGGAGGAAAGTAATTTTTTTTAATGCTCCTTTCGTGGCAGAGTCACTTGTTTGCTCTGTGAGTTTGCATGAAAAACAGGAGCCCTTTAGAATCATCTGAGGCCAAATGTCAACTTGTCAGTAAAACACAGAATTCCAGGAGAGTTAATAATTGTATTTCTTCTTGAGGAGATAGTCTTGCATTACACTGCTTGCTTGGTTTAGGTAGAATGACTTCCCCTCCAGAAAATATTGATGGTTCTCCCTTCTGGGCAACTAGTCTTTTGGGTAGTGCTTGAATTAAGACACTTGGCGTTCAAAGGATACCTCTTCTGGAGGCTTCATCCCTTTCAAAGAACAGTAGCAGGGAATTGTATTTTGTTGTCTGTGTTCATCTTCCAAGCAATTCTTATGTTGCCTCGGGCATTCCTTGGCTTGTGAAAAAACCACAACAAACCAACCCTTTGTTTTGGCGTCTAATAGTTCTACTTCACAGCCACCACCTTTTCAGGGATGGCTCTAAGGGTTTGGCACAAGTGCAAACAGATGTTATGGTTTAATTGTGGGTTTTCAGACTGTTCTAAATTTTCTTTGGTAGAATCCTTTCTTCTCCATGTAGAAGGAAAATCCAGAAAACTGATACTGCTTTTTATTTGGTTCACAAGTTGTATGTTGCACTTCTGTCTGTACAGTAGGTGGTCCCTTTTAAAGAAAAAAAGGTTTATAAAGCCAGTCTCTGTTGGGTGTCATGTCGTGGAGCAGGACAAAAAGCTGATGAGAGGCAGCTGGCTAGAGTCCCTTTGATACCAGAGTAAACAAGCATTCCATTGTGTATAGAGACATACTCATGGACAAGGCTACAAGTGCTCTCAAGATAAGGAAGTACATGCAACAGAAGAACCAGACGTCTTTCTTCAAATACATGTGGGCCTTCCACCTTTATGCAGCTAACTTGCAGTACTTTGGTACATCTCTGTTCAGCCTACCAGGGGCTATTTATTTTTTAAACCTAAGTCAGAATCATAGGTTGGACTTACTTGCTTGAAGACAGAAAACTGTCTTTGCCCCTTAGAAGCTGACAGGTGCTAACAGAAGAGAGGAATGTGGGCTATTACAGACAGGCTGTAGTTGTCTGAATAAAGCTCTATTTTGACATAAGATTTTTTTTCAATCAATCGAATTGATTGTCAGTTTGGATTAGAGAAAAGTATGAGCCTTAAGGATCTGGCTTCCTCTCAGTGGTTACAGTGCTACACAGACTGCAAGTATCTGAGAAGTTCAGACCAATTCTGTTCCTCAGTCTTCTGGAAACTTGACCTGGTGTCTTGCAGTGGGATCAAATGTACTTTTGTAATGACTGGCTGCTTGGCTGCAGGATAAGCTTTGATACTGTAATTTTCCCCAGGGATACTTCATTTTGATGCCATACTACTTTTAATTGTTGTTACTCCTTAGTTCACTTCTGGTTTGGTGTTGGGGGTTGTCTTTTGCTTGTTTGCTTTGATTTTTTTTTTTTGGGGGGGGGGTGTCTTTTCCCACTTGTATTAGGAAATCTTTCTGGTTTGGATCTAGACCTTTGTAATGAACAGAGAAATGCCTTTGTATGCCTTACAAAAGGGATCTGTATTCATGTCTGAAAAGATTTCTGGAATGTTGGCACATCCAGACACCTCTGCTGCTTCTGCTGATGTCCCCAGGAAAGCCAGAGCTGCTTCTGAAGCTTCTGCTGTATTATCTTGCCACACAAGTTTAAGCCTCTCTATTCCATAAGAGCTGTTGTAGCATTTCATGTGCACAGGCATGCTCTCTCATTCTCCCCCACATTTATTTTTAGTTATCCTTTTATATCCCTGCAAAGTTACATGCACATCACAGACTCAGAGAACTGGCAGTCAAAATTTCCACTGTCTGGACTATTAAAAGAAAACATTAGAAAATAACAATCTAAATTAGTTCTTCTATTTCAGGTTTTGTGGCTTAGTCATCATTCCTTTATGGGTGTTGTGGCTGTTTCTTATGTATGTCCTTCTCATAGCTGCTGTTACTTAGCTGTTCTTCTCTTAACTGCTCTTACTTAAGAGATACTTACCAGCACTGAGCAACTTGTGGAACAGTATTTTTACTGATTCTGATTAGAAGGTGTCAGTTCTAGGACTAACAGTGGCTGTAATAGCTTGAAACAATTAGTTCATAAGTTGATTTTTTAATTTTTCCTTTTTGCCACCCCTCCATCCCTTTCCTCAACTACCTATTGTTATTCTGTGCCAGCAATTTGACCTACCCCAAATTCAGTACTCCTGCATCCAACGGTCTGTCTTCAGGAGGAGTGGGTGGTGGTGGCAAGATGATGAGGAGTACACTATATATCAAAACCTGGACAAGAGCAACAGGTAAGGGACACTTAAGTTAATTGCTCTCACTGAGGTTACTGAGGTTATGCCAGTTTTGTTGCCTCGTATTGATTTATAATAATGCCATTTCAGTTTTGTGGTTTTCTTGCTGTGGGTTTCAGGGTGGGCTCCAGTTTGTTTATCTGTTTAAGTGCCTGAACTTTTGTTTTGCATTTTTGAAATCTTTAGTCATATTCTTGGAGTTGTTTCGCACTATAAAGTTTCTCATTAACAGTTTAATGAACAAATTTTGGTGGAGGTTTGTATAGTTTTATAAAAGGAATGATGTTTGAAACAAGTGCCAAGTAAGTCAGCAAAGCTTGTTTGATTTATTTCATATTTAAGTCATGTTGAAAGATACAGGCTAAGAGTCTGAAGCAGAAGACAGTGTTCTGCATGTCTGATGATGATAATTCACAATTTTTGACACTTAATCAAACTCATCATGAGAAGGTTTTTTTCTTGATGTAATGGGAAAAGTCCATTTAATAAAAATATGGTCCTGGCTATCTTGAAGATTATTTTTCTTGTTTTTCTTAATGTAAACTGGCTACTATTGAATCCTAAATACAGAAAATTTATATCAGTCTTCTGGCTGATGCAAAATGAAGAAAGAGTCAATACCGGAGAACATTTCTATAATACAAATGGTCTGAATATTGAGGTCCAATAGACTCTTCAAATCAAAACTGTGAAAGATGTAAGCTATAGGCTACATTAAATTTCTGTAGTAGCAAACTTTTATCTCTGCATAGTCACTTCTGTGTAGATCTTGGTACTACTGTGCAAGTTATGACTAGATTGGATATTCCCATTTAAACCCTGACTAATCAAATCTTGGGAATGAAATCATTGAAAAGGCATGGGTAAGACCAGAAGTTTTTAAGGTACACTGGTTTCTGAGTTTTAAATTTGCATCCTGATACATGATACAGACTAGATTTACCAGAGTATGATCTTCTGTGCTGCGAATCTGGTTTTCTTTTTTGGTGTTTTGTGCTTTTGTTTGGGGTTTTTGGTACTCTATGGAACCCACATACTTGAAACATTACCTTTTTCCAAGTTCAATGCAGTAGTGACTTCAGAATCTTTGACAGCTGTCCTGCCTAATTTTGCAAGAGGAACACTTTCTCATTTGTTTTGAGAGTGTACTCTTATTTGAAGAGATGAGAGGATAATTGGGAAGGATGATGTTTCTCTAGATGTTTAATGACTAAAGTAGAGAAAACAAAAATAAATCTGATCTGTGCCCCTCTCTGTTCTGCACAGGTAACAATTTTGAGCTGTCAGTATTCTTTCTGGACAGGTGGTGAATGTAGTATTGTATGGAAACAGAGCTGCTGTAAATTAAAATGATGTGGCAGACTGAGCTGGAGAGGTTAGGATTAATTTTGAAACCTTGCTTTGTTTTAATCTGTAGGTCTGTTGGTTATATTTAATTTTGTTAGGAAATTAAGGGTGAGATGGGGTAGGAAGGTAGTGTTTCTTGTAAAAAAGAACAGAAAGTTGTAAATTTCAGGTTAAAGCAAAAAAATAAAATTCAGAACTTCTTAAAAGAAAGATAAAAAATTAAAATTACAATAATTAAAATTTACACCTAGGAAGTGGAAGAACCAGTACTACCGAAAGTACCCTTACCCATCAGTGCTGCATCGCTGCCTTCATTCAACTTTAACTTTCTTGCCAGTAGTACTGTCTCATCGTCACCAAGCACTGTCTCAACAGGAGCGATGATGAAGGTAAATCTTTAGTCTATATTGTGAATACATTTTTAGGATGAGTATACATCTGCTTTGTTGTACGTTAACTTCTTTCATGGTGCTCATGAAACTAACCAACATTAGTTTATATCCCATTGAATAAATCAGGTACGAAGGTATTCGGGGGTGGGGGGGCATAAAGTTTTTGGTTCAGCCTCTGTCCATCTTTTAGCAAACTTCTAGTTAACATAATTGTGTAACTGCTTCAAATGCTACGGAGGTAGCATAAATGATTATATTAGCCTAGTGTAGAATATGAACCTAGGGTGCAATAAAATAAACATTCATCTGTCCCAGAGTAATTGAAATATTCTTGTGTGTTTTGAAGCACATACCTGCTTTAATATGTTGAGGTATTTGCTGAAGGTCTGACTACAACTGAGCTGAGTTAGTTTGAGGTTCTTCATCTGCCTGGTCTGCTTTTGCATGTATTTAATATATTTAGATCTAAGTAGCATCTCAGTGATTTCTCTTGGTTTCTGGGATTTGGTTTTCATGATACTGTACTATATGCCCATTTGAAAACTTTGTTTTCTTTTATTGTAACTCTTGTCTGTGGGTTAGAAATAAGTATGAAACATCAGATTTCCCAGCTTCACCACAGGACACTTGTTAGTGAATTCAGGTAGCTGCTATTGTTTCACCAGGGTGCTACAAGCCTTAATTCTTTTGAAAATACAGGTACCACCATCAAGTAATGTTGGCAGTCCTGTGTTCAGATTTTCATCTCCAATTGTGAAATCTACTGAGGCAGAAGTGCTACCTCCATTGTCTGTAAGTAAAATAAAGCAAGCTCAACTTTTTCATGAGGCTTTAGTAGAATATTGCAGAACAGAAAAGCAAACTTTGCCTTGATAATGGGGAAAACAAATATATAGGTTTCTGTCCTGTAATGTTATGTGTTCTTGTGTGTTCTACGTCTTGTGTGTGTTCTATGTTATATGTTCTTATGTCATCCAGCATGTATACCCAAGGTTTGGAGTGGATTTCAGATTATTGTTTGTGTGTGAAACTTGATTAAAGCTTCTTCAGTTTCAGAATCTGAAAAAATCTCTCTCTCTCGCAGCAGATTGGGTTTACATTTAGTGATCCTGTTGCAAAATCAGCAGAGGGTTCTGGATCCAGTGATACACCAGTTACATCCTTCCTTACTCTAGGTAAGGATCTGAAATTTTAGCATTTGAGATCTGAAGTGCTGATTTTCTCCTTTTGTATATTAGATAGTAATTCTGTCCTTTCTGACCATATAAACAATTACAGGCGAACTGTGTTTTCAGTGACACATCTGGTTTTAACCAAATTGTAACTATAAACTGTTGTAAACAAGGTAGAATAGTTAAGATTCTTATAGAAGAGGCATGAAACTTGTAAAGTCATGTTTCTAGCAAATGTGAATGTATTTTAAGTGGATTTTTTTGTGAAAGGTATTTTTTGTTTTGTTTTTAAAGATACCGCCACTGTAAACAGCACCAGCAATAAGAAGGAAAAAGAAGAATACGATGGCCCCTCCAAACCTGCAAAGGTCTTAAAGGAAGGAAGTGTGTTAGACATTCTGAAAAGCCCTGGTGAGATTATGAACTCTTTAAAAAGAGATATTGGAAAAAGATATATAAGATACTGCAATGCAAATATATGCTAGCATATAACTGCATTGATTTTTAAAAACACCACCACCACAACAAACCCCACTTTGTCACAGTTAATGCAATATTAGCCATAAATACAAACACAGGAGAGCATCACGTTAAACTCTGCATCTCTTAAGGTTGCTCTCCCCTTCTATTTGAAGTGGCTTTTATTGCTGAAAAGAAAACTGCAACTTCAAACCAGATGCATTACTTGTCCTGTATGTGTTTGGATGCAATTGTAAATGAAGTATAAAATGAATTAGCCAAATAATCAGTGTTTCATTGTAAATAAATAAAAATTATGGAATTTGAAAGGAAATGTTTGTAAAATGCTTTACAAACATTCCTTTCCAACCTCCAGCATCTCTGGAAATTAGAATAGTAAAGATGGTTTCATTCCTAAAGATATTTTAAAAGTTGTAAATATTTTGGCCTTAAATGATAACAGTTATTATGGATTTAAATGTAATTTTAAAGTAAAGTGGGCTGTTTCACTTTAGAAACCCTATTCTAATTCTTACTTGTAAGTAATTGCAGATGTTTTCAGCTGCTTAGTAAAGTGCGTGTATATAGATGATGGGTTTTGTTATAAGAAAAAGGATTTTATTGCATTTGATCTTTTCCTGTCAGCCTTGAGTTGTACCAAGACATTTTTTGTGAAGTGACAAATCTATGTGCTTAAGAAGGCAGTGCCTTTTTATATTGAAAGAGCTAAGTGAGAGAAAATACATGTGTGTAAGAAAGACCTATGCATGAAGTGATGTTCATTTTCTTTATCAATTTAAGAGAAGCAGGTTCTAAATCCACTGTTCAAAAGATTCCACTTCTGATATAAAAAAAACCCAAAACAACAACATAATAAATAAATTAAAAAAATCTTAATTTTAGCTTTCCAAGAATTCATGCTGCTGTTTAAGATGCATTGCTATAGCATTTTCTTTAGCATTTCCATATTGCTTGTTCTTGCTTTCTGTTAAAATTGGCACCTTTAAGTAAGGATTTGGCCTATGTCTAGTGCATTTTGAGCAAAGATTATAGACAACAATTGTTCTGTTGTCTTCATTTTTATTAATTAATACTCAGTATCTTTGCGGAGATACCGTCTTGATTGCTGCTCCAAGTACCAACTGCTGCGCTGCTACCAAAGTAAATGTGAGTCAGCTACTACAGCAGAAATAGCTTCAGAAACATGATTCAATTGGGCATGGTGTCTTAAAATTAAATTGGTTTATTTCTAGTCCATGATGGACAGTCAGCTTTCAGTACTGTCACTTGTATCTACCAGTGAAGGTTTGTATTTAAAACTTTCTTGGAAATGAAGATTTAAATCAAGCTTTAAATAAATGTTCTGTTGTGTCCCAGTGCAGCATATGAAATTTCATCCCTTTACATAAGGTTTGCAGGGCCTTCATCTTGTATTTAATCAGAATGTAAAGTTGTAACAATTGGCACTTGGTTTAAGCTTCTGTCATCTAGATTTTAAGCAGCTTACATGTAGTGAGGGTACTGCTTTATCAATAAGATCTCTTCCTGTTTATTTTTTCACTAGGCTTTACCTCTGTGAAAACACACTCCCCTCCATCTGCGCAGCCTGTTACAAGCACAGTGGTCTATACAAGGCCTGCAATAAGTAGTTTTTCTGCAGGTAGAGACACCTCTAAACAAGCATCCTCATTTTGGCAGTCTGACACGTATGACCCATGTCTGCAAAATAAAACCACGGATAGCAAATGTGTAACATGTGAAGCTGCTAAAGTGTCAACAATTGAGAGTACGAAACAGACAATAAGCTCAAGTCAATGTGTTGCCTCTAAGGCAGCAGTTCCTACAGCGGGGACATTGGGCTTTGAAGACAAATTTAAAACAGCACCCAACACATGGGATTGTGATACCTGTCTGGTCCAGAACAAACCTGAAGCTACAAAATGTATAGCATGTGAGACACCAAAGCCTGGAACAGGAGTAATGCCTGCCCTGACATTGCCAGCAGTCACAGACAATGCGGCGACAGTGACATCCTCCTCCAGCAGCACTGACACAACAGTCACTCTGGGGTTTGGAGACAAATTTAAGAAGCCAAAAGGTTCTTGGGACTGTGCAGTGTGCCTTGTATCAAATAAGGCAGAAGACAGCAAATGTGTAGCTTGTCAGTCGGAGAAACCAGGTGCGTTCTCTTTTCTATTGTTCCAATTTCAGCTTCTGTGCATTCTTAACAGAATAAAATATGTTGCATATTGAAAATATTCTCAGCAGCATGGCTGTAAGCCAGCAGGATGGATTAGTGGCTGTCTGCAGGAATGGTTACAGGCTCTTTTGAGGTCGCAGCCCAGATTCCAGCCCATCACATGAATTGAACTGATTGTGAACTATATTAGTGCAGAGCTGAATTGAAGCAAATACACCCTGCTTTGCAGTAATGGGGAACGATGACTAAACTGGATACCTTAGTTAACTTAAAACCTATTTACTCGTTTTCATTAGGGAAAAATGTGAACTCTGTCGATAGACTTAAAAACTCCTGGGTCTTTCTCTCTTTCAAAAGTAAATAGAAACGGTGTTTACAGAACATGGCTAAAAATGTCTTCACTCGGCATTTATGTGTAGTTGAGCAGACAGGTATGAAGACAGGTTTCAAGACAGTGTAGTCTTTAACTAGTTGTCTTAAGCTAAAACAAAACCCTATGTTGAGATAGGCGTGTGAAGGCCTGTGTTAGCCTTCCAGAATGTGGGTGACCTTGTTCTGGAAGGTCAAGGTCCTTCCTGACAATGGGGAGGTAGGTGCCTTGTTCAGTGCAGCCCTGGGTTGCTTCCCATTATATGTCATAGAATCATAGAATAGTTAGG